TTTCTATGATTAAAATGCACATATATATTGTGAAGTGAATATATGAATATATTTTCATATGCAGTTCAAGTATTCTCAATACATGAATATTATTTTCATATTCAGTTCAAGTATTCTCAAGTTTAAGCATTATTCTGTTTTTGATTTTGAGAGGTGTTCGCAAGGCAATCGAGAACTTTTTATACTAAATATCGAAACCTTGAAACTTGCAGAATGACTACTCGAAAACCAATTTTAAAGTCCACAAAATGTTGCTGCTTATTTCTATGTTTCTGTGTGAAAGTATGTTTACATATATAATTAACTTTTGGTTGCTCGTTTAAGCAATTGCCACTGTAGCAACAAGTAACAAGTAATTAGCAAAGTCATCAACAGTGCAGCAACTTTCAAGAACTGTTGCACGTGGCCCATGGTGCAGAAATGGCAAACAACCCCCAAACCCAACCACGGGGCCACCACGCACAATGTGGCATCCACTTTAGAATGGCAAGCGTTTGGCATTGCGGCACAAAACGGAAACTCTGCCAACGGGCCAGGCCAGGCCAGGCCAGGCCAGGCCAGACTTTGAATGCATTCGGATTGAATCCACACTCAATCCGAATAACGAATATTTTTCGTAATTTGCCTTTGACATGCAACTCTGCTTACGTCACAAATAATAAAGAGAGGCAGCGAGGCAGCGAGGCAGCGAGGCAGAGTGGCAGAGACAGGGACAGAGTTAGAATTGTAAATGTAATTCGAATGTAAAATGAAACCGAGCAAAACTAAATTACAGTTTTTGAGTTCAATACCCACTGGGCGATAAGCTGCGACTAGTTTTCCAAATTATGCAATTCTAAAGCCGACACAATCTTTCTACCCTCCTCCTCCTCCTCCTCCATTCCAATTCCACCCACCATTTCCTGTTGCCAACTGGCAACTGTTTGTATTATCTGGCGGCGAGTGATTCTAGTATAATTTCCTCCAGCTAGCACTAATCTTGATCGACATGAGCCTGAGTTTAAGCTGCCTGATAAGCCAGTCAAGCTTCTCACAATATTTGCTTTCTTTGCCCCGCCAACCTGGCGAATCCATCTCCCACCCTGACCACGCCCCCTTACGAGTTTGACAAACACTTGTCGGGGTCGGTAAAATTCCAGCTGAATAATCTGACTTCGCATTTAGGAAATACATTTAACTAAAAGCTAAGAGAGCAGTTATAATGATTCACTCATTGATTTATTTATTTCACAATTTAATGAAAAATCATAAATTGAAAGCTTAAGTTTTGAAGATTTTCAAATGAAATTGTTTTTTTCTCAATAATAACTTGTAACTGATCGAATTTGCTAGAAATGCTTTATTTCTAAAAAATAATATTCTGTGCAAACAAAAACAAGCAACTCTCTGGAAATCAACAACTGTCCGAGATAAGATAAACAATTATTGTTCTCAATTATTTTGTTGCCAATCCAATGTGCATTTTAGCCATGTTTTTAAATGCAATTTGCACATGTTCCGTTATTACGTCGAAATCACACACAGTGTGTCAAAAAAAAAAACCATCATAAAAAAATGCATGCGTCTGTGAAACAGTTCAGAAATTAATCCAATTGAATCGAATCGAACGTTTTTGGCCAATAAAAATCAAACTGGGAAATGTGTTTTGACCTTTTTTTTTTTAATTTGCATTTTTATATCTGACAAAGATTTGACGGTTAAAAAAGTGATTTTCTTAAATGTGCATTTTTTGCGGCTGACAGACAACTTTCATGAGATACTGTAAATTGGAATTCTCATCGCCCACTGAGTGGTCAACACTTGAAAACGGAAGTTAATTGCCTGTGAAGGGTTTTTTTTTTTGTTGCTAAAAATGCAATCCGCTTTAGCCTCGAAATTAATTAAAAATCGGACTTGCGTAATTCAATTAACAGGTTTTCAGCTGAACGGCAACCATTTATAATCATCGATTGGCTTGTGGGGATGGTCAGGGCGACAGAGAGTGAGGGTGTGGCAACAATGAGTTGACAGTGACATCATCATCATCGTCATCTGAAACACCTTCAACTTTGCATTATCGGCCAGTTACAAGAACTTTTGCCATTGTGGGCATTGATAAGCCGCGAAGAACCTAAAAGTTAAATTCCATATGCGAGTTCCCTTTGGCTGTGCGTCATTCAAATATGACACATAAATCACAATCGATGATTAAATATTAATATTAATGCGAATTGCGTATAGCCAAAGGCGCAACAAATAAATTATGATGAATATATGTGCCCTACAGGCCATATAAATATAAATAATTTAGTCAAATCTCTCAATAATTGTGCATTTTCGTAGAACTGTGCAAATTGGCAATTGTGAAAAATTTGAAGAGCAGTTTATCAGCAATCAGTAATCAGCATCAGAAGTAAGCCGATTTCGAATGTCATGGCAGCTATAAAATTAGACGCATACATTTCCGTAAGACATTTCATAATTTTAATGATATAATATTGTACAAAAAATATACTTCTTCTACTTAATATAATGATGAAATCATCCAGGCAACTTTGCATCATGCATTTCTTTAGCATTCCAATGAAATGGGAATATTAAAACGATTTTTCGACTTTAGTTAATAAGTGAATAAAAATTCGGAAATAAATAAAAATAATCAATATATAATATATTTGCTATATTTTAGCATTTCTATATATTTCTATATGTGAACGTTGGCAATTTATTATTATTTGTTGTATAAATCGAATTAAGATATTACAAGCATGTCAAGTAAATAGCGCAATCTAACATTTTCCAACTACGCTATTTTTCTACAAGTTTTGCATGTTGTTGCTCAGTTCATAGATAAGATAGCTTTATGTTCCAAAGTACACAAAGACAAGAGTTGACAAATACAGGTATATATATGTATATATATGTATAAATATGTAAAGATGTGTGTATTTGTATACATATATTTACTGTTGTCACTTTCTGACTTTCGATAAGAAACTTGGCAACTGGGATTGGGGTGCTTAATATGATTAGTCCGTCAACATATTTACAGTTGTCATTAATACGTTTAATGTATATACATATATATATACATATATATCTAGGTGAGTATATAACACACACACATATATATTCTAGTCGTCTTTTGATAACTTTGCTTGATTAGATTGCAGACAAACAACACAAATACCACCAAGAGTCTTAATTAGGCTGGCAAACAAGTCGAATTGCCGAAATCGAACGCTATCTGAGCCAACTTCGAAGGGGTAATTTTGCTTGGGGCGGTGCTGTTTGGCGGGTGGTTTTCAGTTTAGCGCTGTTTTTGTTCTTGTATTTTTGTTATTTACTGATGCTTGCTGCTTGCTGCCTGTTGCCTGCTGCGAAACCGTAACAGAAGCAGCGGCAACTGATTTTCAAGTGTTTGCTTTTTGACCGTCTCAAGTAGGCTATTCAACCCACTTGGACATTGGAACCGTTTTGCTGGACTTTGTGACTGCTAATATGTCCGATAAATATATATATATATATATATTTGTATCTGTATCTATACCTGTATACAATATATACAATAAGACATACTGCAAGGAGACTTGTTAAGGGCAAAACTTCTCGATTTAGATGAAAATCGTATTTTTAGCACAAATCTTCTTGCAAATCAAGTAGAAGAGGACTTGCTTTAAGTTAATGAGGAAAAGAGTGAAACTTACGACAAGTCCACTGTGTAAAAGAGTTACGAATAAAGAGTAAAGAATAAAGTGACAAGTATTAAGTCGATTGAGTCACGGAAAATGGCATAATTAAGATGCTTGTACTTGAAAACAAAGTACTTAAATACTAAATAATAGATCACTGTAAACTTGGCCCTTGGCAAGTGAAGTAGGAATTTTCTCACCTCATTTTCGCAGTGCGAAATACAACTGATAATAAACAGCAACAGATGTAAGGGGTGCCGTCGAGAAGTACTTACTGGGAAGCATATATAGACGCGTATATATAAAAATGGACGCCCCCCGCGTGAAGATTTGGACTTAGCTCCTTGTACTTAGCTCAAAGTACAGTTGTTTGACCTTGCTTTTGCACACTTTTCATGCCTTCTTCTTTATGCGTGATTCTTGCTTGTCGTCATCTGGGATGATTCTTCTTTTGCGTCTTCCAGCCTCGAATCCGAGCAGCGCACTCAGTTGATAAGGTAAAACTTTGGTCAAGACGTCAAGGCTTAATGTGTCGACAGGGGGTATAGTGGGGTTAGCAGGGGGGGTTTGGGGGCACGTAAGCTACGCCTCTCAAGGGCAGTTTGGCATTTAAAACGAATTAGTGCGAAATTCAACACACAGAAAGGAAAACACTGATAAGCGTCCAAGTGTGAAATCAGTTTTGGGATTAAAATACATTTATTGCTTTAGTTTGACACACAAATAATGATAAGAAAATGTGTGTATTGAATCATTGACAGTAACAAATGTAATTAGTGCCATTTTTTTTATGGAATGGGCAGTTAGTACTTAAAAAGTAAATGAATCTTACAATGTTAGTCAACTTTATCTTTAGTTAGTTTTGAGCAAATGTTTGGACTACTTATTTAAACATGTGCTTTAATTATGTAAGCATTTTTACATTGAGTAAGGCCAACTAAATTAACTGATTACGGCAAAAATAAATAAGAGAGAGAATAAAGTACTAGAAAACTACTCGCTTTCAGTTAAGATTAAAGATCACGTTGTTTTCTAAACTTTCAATTAAGGTTTGACATTTATTTAAAATATAAATTGCAAAGCATTGTCGCCAAATTGGATTGATTGTATAAATAAAAACCGAAATCCCTGAAAATATTGATAGGCAAAGAAAACAAAAATAGGCGAAAACATTCCCATTCATGCCCCAAAGACCATCAGGTGGAATAATTTCTACTGCTCGGTTCAATGTCTTTGGCGTTGTTATGTGGTTTACTGCTGTTGCAATTGTTGTTGATCTACAATTCAAATTGTTGTTTCTCGTTTCGTTTTTAAGTCTATTTTGCTCACCTTTTCGAGGCATTCTTGGCCGATGGCTTTGGGATCCAATTTGACAGCTTGTTGAGTGCCATTTGGCAAATCCACAATGCACCACATATTGATGGTTCTTTTTGTTGTTCGCGACTCCTTGTTGCAAAAATGTAAAAGTTGTTTCTGTTTCTGTTTCTGTTGCTGTCTGTTGTTGTTGTTGTTGCTCTCCTTTGCCTTAAGGCAATTGCATTTATTGCTTAGAGCTTCCGCGTTACGTGCGACGAAATAAACAACAAACCAAAACAAAAAAAAACCAGAAACAACAAATACGAAACCCAATTTTAAAAGTCCGTAAGCGTATTAAGGCGTTTGCAGCGCTGCCGACGTCGCTGTTGCTGTCGCAGCAGAGAGCTACAGGTTGTGTTTGTTTTTGCTTGGCTTTTGGCTTTTTTGTTTTCTTTTCTTTTCTGGTTGGAGTGTTGGGTTGTGGGGCGGGGGAGTGCAGTTCCAGGTCCCAGGTCCAGCCGTGGTACACAAAACGTTGACGGTTAACTTTTTGAATGTTGCGCACTTGTTTCAATATTTTTATTTCAAAGATTTTGCATATTTCGTTTATTTCATACACATTTTCACTTTTTGACTTTAGTGTGTCCAATTTGGATATATTTTTGATTTGTTGGTTGTTGTTGTTGTTTTTTTTTTTTTGGTTTAAAACGTTTTTTTTTGGCAGACGCCGTTTCCCGAATAACGTCGATGACGTTTTTTCGTAGCAGAGCTGTTTTGTTGAGTGCCGTCCGTTCGACACAACGTTCCCGATACAATTGAATTCTAGTTGGGAGACAAAGCCAAGGCAAAGAGTATTTTTCGAGGCAAAGCGACGCTGTTAAAAGTTAACAGTGCCAGCGCACTGTTATGCTCAAGTGAACTGCAAATGCCCACAGCTCTTCGCTCTTCGCTCTTGCATGCCTGCTTTTGAGCTCTCTTAACAGCTGCGCTCACTTCACAATGCTGTTGCTGCTGCTGCTGCTCTCTCGGTCAATGCTTGTTTACTGCAGCGCGGGGGAATGGCAGCTGTTAGTCGCTGTGTGCCGTGTTTCATTCAATTGCCCTGCACAGCTGTTGCTTCTGCTGCTGTTGTACAGCTTCTCTTTTGTTATCAGATTTTACACTCCATTGCACTCTTTGTACGGGGCAAGCAGGTAAACGGTTCAACAGTTGAATCAGCCAGCAATCGCCACCAGTTCTTGTTTGAGCAGCAAATTGATGAATGCATGGCGCGCATGTGCATCTCAGCTCAGCTCAGCACAGCAGCTGCTCTTGCCTTGAATGTGCCATTAAAGGATTTCTGTTATTTCGCTTAACGCATCTTTGTTTGCTTTCCCCGACCTGCGCAATCTTAAATATTGAGTCCGTTCAATTCTTGTCAACACAATGAAAATGAATGGGAAAGGTGTTCCAATGCGGCATGGTTGGGAATGGGTCTTACTTTATTAATTATATATAATAATATATTACTATGCAACAATTCCTTAAAGCTTAAATTCTCAACATGGTTTGTTTTCATTTGCAACAAATACAATCTTCAATTCACAAGTACCAATAAATAATAAATAGATTTCGTAATCTATAAGAAAGAAAAAGTCAATTTTATAATTGCGTTTAAAAGCCACCATTCAAATTGCTCCACTTGATAAGTAGACCAAAATTGTAGCATTTATTGATTGAATAATAATTACGAGCTGGCGTAATCTTTAAGAATGTTACAGCTGCAAGCTTGACATACATTTTTTTCTTTCAGCCTGTCTTCTTTAATTCTTTTTACACGTTGCTTTTTCGCTGAAACCATCGATTCTTAACCCATGTCAGTTGCACGTGTGTGATTGGTTGACATGTAAATATTTGTAACGGGGCAGCCCTGGCATAGTTGTCAATCTTTTCGCATTAACCGTTGCATTGACAAACAATGACCTCCAGATTCTGGGAGCAGCTGAAATTGCATTTGAATTGTGGGCTCTTCAAAATCAATACGAATCAATAGGCGAGCAAATGAAGAGCTTTTTCAAAAAAGCTTTCCACAAATATCGCTGGTTGCTGTCTAAATAAATTAAAAGCTCCCAGTTGAGCTAATGGACGTTAGCAACTTTAAAATCATTCTTAAATATGAATCAAATCTCAGATAAGAAAAGCTGCAATGATCTAAATTCTAAATATTTATTTCGTTCGTTTTTACTGCAATATTTCAAATGTCCGATTTTACATTAATGTGAAATAGTTAAAAGCACGCAACTCATGCTATCCAGTGAATATATAAATATACTTTTTTGTCCAAATAAATCTGCCAATAAGTCTATCTAAATAAAAACACATTTTTTTAAGAGGAGCAAAGTTCAATACATTTTTTGGAATGACTCAGATGCTGTGGATCGAGAGAACAAATAGACTTTGGTACGACTTCGAGTCAAAATGTTGTCAAGTCAAATCGAAGAATCCGGGGAAATGCGCAAAGTTAATTATGTCTCAAGTAGATGCTTAAAAATTCATTAACCTTAAGTGGACACACACACACACACACGCACACTAATACGTGGTAAGATTATTAATATGCTTATCAAGAAACGTGGGTGATTTTTAGCAACGCAAAAACATTTGCAGACATCAAAGTTTGCGATCTAAATTGCGGATCTGACACACTTACAAAACGATTGGTCTCAGCAGCATTAGGCGATTTTCTAATCTAACCCCAAGGCTAGAAAAACAGACTTTTTCAACACAAGATTTTCACACCGATAACTTTTTATTTTTAATCCTTTTTTGTTGTTGTTGTTAAACTTTGCTTTGAAAAATTAACAAAATCTCGCAAAATTTTACCATTTTTTTGTTAGATTATTATTATTTTTTTGGATTTTAATTAATGTACCTTTTTGATTGTTTTGTGGTTAGACTCGGATGACATTTCGGCTGATGAAATTACTCATGCCAGAAGGCAGACAAACAAACAGCAACGACCCTGTTAAACTCTGGGAAATGATAAGAGGAGAACCGGAGTAAACATTCTACATATAGCCGGGTATATTAATAACCCCCAGACGCGCCAGCCATCATAATGCAAATAAATATTATAATAATAATGCTCTAAAAATAAAGAACAGTTTCCGCATTTTTCAATACGTTGCTGCTTGGGCTGGCAACAATTTTCTTTATAATGGTCCAATTCAGACTAATTTTGCTAATGATGACTAAATAATATAGATATATATATATATAGATATTTATTAGAAGTGTGATCCACTCTTCTACTTATGAATAATATCAGAAATAATTAGGAAATGACGTGTTTAACCGACTCAAAGTCCATTTCCCAGAAAAGTGGGTTCGAGAGTCAATGCTTTTAATCAAAAATTGAGTGAACTGATTAAACGCCCCCGAAGCTAACTTATATATATATAAATAAACATATTTGCTAGGCAGACCATGATGATCAAAAAAAATACAAACAAAATTTAATTAGCACTCATAAAGTGTGGCATGACATGTTTTCAAAAGTTGCCACACCTGGCAATGAGGCCGTGAGACATACCAAAAATTGTTATCATATTCTGATAGACAGGCTCAATCGAAAGCTAAGCAAAGGGCATAAATAATTTACGGAATTCAATTGAAAAACCTCAAAAAAATATCAGGTGTAACTTGTAGCTAGTTGAATATATCAGCAATTTAATCTCTTTTGGATTTGTGAATCACTTTTAGGTTTGTGATTGATTGATTGACTGACTGACTAATTGATTGATGGCTGCGCCCAGCTGAAATTTTGATTCTAGCTTCCCTTTTCCCTATCTCTAGCTAGCTTCCCTGGTAAAATTAAGTGGAAAACTATTGCATACAATTTTTGTTTTTATTTATTTATTTATTTTTTAAGCCAAATTTGTTGAAAATATTTATGAAAGTAGATTGAAATTATTTTTGAGCTTGATCAGCATCACTACATCATTATATCATTCAGCCTCCAATCAAAATCTGGCTTTTTGTATTCAAAACTATTTTGCTTAATAAGTTATCCAAGCTAAAAATGTGTATTATTTTGCTAAACACATTTTGATGAAAAAGATCATTTAAATTGGACTACTAAATCATGAAGAATTTTTATACTTTATAGTAAAATTTAGATATCAGCATGTTGACTCCATTCTAGGGAGGATTGGATTAATCTTGGCATATTTATTTTGTTTTTATTTATTCCATAACTCAAAGTTCAAAAGAATACTTTTCATTTCAAGAGTAATTTTCCGAACTTGGTGAAAAATGGTGCTTTAAGATTGTATCGAAATAAGTTCGAGTTGGATGCCATTAATTCTACATAGTTCAACTCAACTGAGGAGGAACACGATAGCTTATTAAAAAATGATAGAAAATTAATTGTAAAAAACCACTGTTTTCAACAGATACACACACAGATACACACACACACACACAATAGACACACAGCACACACACAGATACACACACACACACATGTATAAATGTTTAGTAGAGAATACATATACAATACACAAAGTATGGATGACTGAAAAGAGACGATTAAGTTATCAGTGCTTGGTATATAAATATAAATAGGTATTTGTTTGCCTCAATCAATATTGAAAGTGGGTCTTCAAATATAGACATGCCCATACATATATTACACACACACACATAAATACTATAATTATATAATTATAATGCATATAGATACAGATACAAATGCATTCTAAAATCGCAATTGGATCTTTTATATAACTTGGAACTTATTTGCATAGAAACTTGGCGCCTTCTGCGATATCCTGCTGGAGCTGTTTGACGAGTGTTTCGACGGCTTTCTTCTCCTGCTCATCCAGCTGGGGCAGTCCCAGATTCTTGTAAATGCCGCCCGGTCCCAGTAGAATGGGCGTGGCAAAGAATTCCGCCTCGGTCACCTTCGACTGGACATAGGAGCAGGCGATGACATTCTCCTCACCATTGATGGCACGCAGCAGGCAGTCAACAAATTTAGCAGCAGCAAAGGCCATCGAAAGTGTGGCAGATCCCGCGCCAGCCTTCGCCTCGACCACCTCGTTGCCCGCATCCTGAATGCGTTTCACCAACTTATCCCGTTCCGCGCCAGTCACTGTATACTTGGGCAGACACTGGGATAAAAGTGGCAATATTGTAATGCCAGCATGTCCACCAATGACGGGTATCTGCACAGTCCTCGGATCAATGCACAAGGCTTCCGCAACAAATGTTCGGGCGCGTACAACATCCAGGGTGGTGACGCCAAATAGTCGGTTCGGATCGAAGACATTCCGTTCCTTGAGTATCTGGGCAACGATGGGTATAATCGTGTTGATTGGATTCGTGATAAAGGCCATGAGAGCTTTCGGACAGACGAAGGCAATTGTTTTGGCCACTTCGACGGCAACATCGCCATTGACAGTCAAAAGATCGGCACGATTCATGCCCGGTTTGCGTGGCAATCCCGCTGGGACGACCACAATGGCAGCATCCTCCAATGCGCACTGCAGCTCCTTGGCGCCCACAAACGCCTGCACCCGGGTCCCAGTGCATATGTGCGAGAGATCAGCGACAACACCCTTGATATCCTGCAAATCATGCAGCGCCAGCGTCGAAATCATCGGACTCATTTTGAGGAGCAGCGAGAGCGGCTGTCCAATGCCACCAGCGGCACCCACAACGGCTACCTTGACAGCCTTCTTAGCGCATCTGCTGTAGCGGGCGATCTGGCCAATCTTCATCGATATCATGTCGAAATTTTGTAGATATTCGGATTTTAAAATCAATTTTTCAAAGTTAACAATTTGAATTCACTTAAGGCATATTCCGCCCGTTCGACAACAATATGAAATAAGCATTGTGATCGGATTTGAAAATAGGTCTGTATAAAAACATTCAAATTCATACGGTTGTAGAGGGTCTAGTCTAGGGAATGCTCAACTAGCAGATACCCTCAACTCAAGTTTTAGCATAACTCTGATGCACAAAACATGTAAATATTTCAGGCTTTTGCACTATTTCTCAAATATTTTTGAATGGCTTCGGGATAACAGATACTTTCTTATATAGCAAACTTAACTAGTCGCAATCTTTAAGTTATTGGGCTAGGTCAATAAAATTGCCTTTGTTTTAGTCATTAGTTTTTCATGCAAACCACAATTAAACTATCGTTAATAACTTAACTATGACTATATCTATCAAATTAAATAAAGTTTCCATTATCTAGCTAGACAAATGAATTGAATGATTTCTGTATTTAGTTAACTTTGATTTATTTTTTATATTATTTATTCTGCGAAATGCCCTTTTGCTTCGTGACGCATTTGTGTCTTGGGGAATTTTTTTCTTGTCGCATTTGTAATCTGGCTTGTTGATTTGTTTACTTGTCTGTTTGGCTTATTACAGACATAGTTGCAAGGTCGCTAAATGCAATTAATTAATTCAGGGTGTTCCCTCGTGAGATCACATACCCAATGGGGGCCCAAGACTAGTAGCAATCAAAAATATTCCTACAGACAGTTCCATAATTTAATTAGTTCTCGTATTTCTCGGAATGGTGATTGTTGCAAAAAAGAACGCAAAAAATGTGAAACAATAATTATCACAAAATCAAACAACATTTTGTTCAATGATGAATCAAGTCAATCAAAAGTATTAATTTTATTATGATTGATCAATTTCACAATAATCTTGTATGTTGCCTCAACTCGATTGCGCATGCGTCTTAGCTTAAGGAAGAGTTTGATTTGTATATTTACAAACAAATGAATGAATTATGCGCTGACATTGAATCATGATTATGTGAATCGGACTCTCCCAGAATCGTTGCCATTATTATCAGTTGGGGACTATGCAATTGCTTATCAGTTAAATACTAGCGGCGTCATGTTTCACCAATTGACTGCGACGACCCCAAACCCAGCATACGATTTTACTCAGTTACATATACATATATATATATACATATATATACATATATGTATATGCACATAGCACATACATTTATACCCTTGCCGAGGCAATTATAATTTTGTTGTCAGGTTCGCAACGGGTTGATCAAGATGATGTAAACCAGTTGCTCAATTTAGAAATTATCTTGATGAGACTTGGATTATATCAGTCTCTTTTTGCTGCAGGCAATCTATATATATATTGAATCATCATATTATATAGATATTTTATAAATAGATATGAAAAACATTATTGTTTACCAAGAAATCCGCATAAAACTCACTAGACACAAATCTTATTGTGCTCCTCAAATCTTTGACAAAAAAAGAAACAATTCAAATCGAAATTGGGGAATCTTAGGCACGGCAAGGGTATATAATCCTCGGTGTGCCTTGGATGGAAGTTCTTTCGTGTTTCATATATATTTACATACTATTTTCATATGCAATAATTTGTAGTGTTTACGAGATCGGAATTTAGTGAATGAGGAAGTTGCGCCAAGATGTCGCTTATAGATTATTATTGTTATTTTGCCTAGGTGATTTTACTTTATTTACTTATTTACTATTACTATTTATTTACTGACTATGTTTATTTTAATAACTATTCACTTTGAGATGCGCGCTTATTTGTCGGAATCTGCTCGCTGGCATTGTCCTCTTGCTGGATGTCCTTCATGGCAGTCTGTGCCGAGCGTATTCCCAACTGGATGCTGTCTCGCAGCTCTGGCAGCATCTCCTCGAAGGCAGCCTTCTCCTCCTCATTCATGGACGGCAATCCGAGGTTCTGCTTAATGCCATTTGGACCCAGAAGCATAGGCGTGGCAAGGAACGGCAGCTCGGCGACATTGGAGGCCACATAGGCGCACTCAAGCACATCCTCCTCGTCGTCTAGGCCACGCAGCAGAGCGTTAACAAAATGCGCGCCCGCATAGGCCATCGATAGCGTTGCCGAGCCCTTGCCCGCTTTGGCCTCGACGACCTCAGTGCCAGCTTCCTGGATGCGTTGTCTCAGGCGCTGCAGCTCCTCCACCTCTGCCTCGGGAAACTTTGGGTAGCACTGCGATAAGAGCGGGAGTATGGTGATGCCCGCATGTCCTCCAATCACCGGTATGTCCACCAAATCCGGATCAATGCTCATGAACTTGCCAATGAAAGTTTTCGAACGGACAACATCCAGAGTGGTAATGCCAAATAAACGATTTGGATCGAAGACACCCTTGGCTTTGAGGAACTCCGCCGCCATGGGCACAATGGCGTTAATGGGATTCGTTATGAATGCCAACAGTGCCTCAGGACAAGCGATGCTCACCGCACAGGCGACAGTCAACGCAACGCTCGCATTGGCGGCCATCAGCTCATCCCTCGACATGCCCGGTTTGCGGGGTAATCCGGCTGCCACCACAACCACATGGGCATCCTGCAGCGCCTCCAACAGCTCCTCACTACGAAAGTGACTCACCTCGGCTGGGGTGCAAATGTGTGAAAGATCCGCGGCGACACCTTTTGCCTCAATCACATCGTGCAGTGCCAGCTGCTCGATCAACGGATTCTGTTTCAGCAACAGAGATAAGGGTTGCCCTATGCCCCCCTCGGCGCCCACCACGGTCACCTTGTAGTTGCGCTCGCCACGCCCAGTCCAAATGCCGCCCCTATTCTGCAGGTAATTCAGTGGCAACTTCGACAATCTTGCAACGTGTCCCAGCATTTTTATTGGCTCTCTCAAATTTTGGCAACTTTCAAATCAATTTCAATGAACTTGAAAAACTGAAGACTTTGACTATTTCCGATAACTGAATAAATATGAAACTGTTACTAAGTCTCCTATTATTGATAATAAAAAAACATGAGAGCCCCACAGGGAAAATTTGTGTATATACTTGTGTATACCCTGTAAATCATAAAACAAAAATTAAAAAATTGTATCATAATTACCAAAAATTGGGAAATCAAACAGGAATTGAAATGGGAACTGAAATTCGAAATTCCCTGATTACTGAATAAAATTGTGGAACATATAAAATGAATATATAAATACTATAATTATAATACATGTTCACGAAAAACTTTCATTATATCTTGAGCCCTTAATATGAAGAATATTTAAGTTGTATTTTCACTTGCAACCAAGAAATAAACTGAAAATCCTTCCTCAACATAAGAATGATGATAAGAAAGTATTTCTGAGTCGATCATTCACCTATTGTGGTAAATCAAAATATATTTTGGTCATTCGCCTTAACTGTAAACGACAGACGGAAAGATAGAGAGAGAGAGTGAGAGTGAGAGAGAGAGAGAGGGAGAGAGCCCTAATCTGAAGAACATTCATCATCGATCTATATAGAGCCGACCAATGCCCGCGAGCCGACGAACCGAAGCTGGAAGCCGAGCGCGCAGCCGAAGCACTGCTTCAAGGCATCGTGGGTGTACGATCTTTGATGGTGGTATAAAACGTTAGGCGATGTCAACTTCGACTTCCAGTTGCCGGCGGCTCTGCTATCAATTCGCACAGCAAACAATACAAAATAATAGGAACACAATATTGACTGTCAACGTCCTCGTCCAGTAATCAGAATTATATATTGTTTTCTTAGTATTAAAACGCAAACAGAATGTTTCACAAAGTGAGTAAACAGAAATTATTTAATTGATTAATATTGTGAGAGTGGTTAAATTTATTACGAAAAACAAAATCCAACAAAATTAATAATAATCAAGTATCAATTCAGAACTCAGAATCTCTCAAGTGTTGAAAGTGCTGAAAATATAATAAAAATATTTAAGAAATGATAAATTTGTAATTATCCTTTATCAGCCTAATAGATATATATGCACTTAAATTATATATATAAATAGGCATATACATATATAGAGGATTTTGAAAAAAGTGGATACAAAAAGTGCAAACCTTTGCATGAACCCTTTTTAATTCATATTTCCTTTTCCAATTCAATCGGGTTCAAGATCATTTTCAAAGATCTATATAAAAATTCAATAACTTTTCAAGCGTATAGAAATCGTATACGATGTGCGGAAAATTACTGGGTCCGTGCAAGGTCGATAAATACTTTCAAGTCTAGAATTCTAATCTCTTTTCTTTGTTCATCAAATTTGTCGAAATTCAGAAGATTGCTCTTTGAAACTAGGTGGTGTAATTGTCTTGGATGAGTCAACGAAAATTTGCATTATGTTCAATTCCTAGAAATTTATTAATATGATGTAGATATATGATTTGATATGACAGGCTATCACTAAATTTTCCATTTGTTTCGCTAGAGTCTAGGCTTGCTCAAACCCGAATCCACCCACAAACTAAAACCGATCTTCTCCGATTTCGTTTTTTTTTTAGAAATTCGACAAACAGTTGATGGGGTTGCTAATGGTTCTACTGGTCGCATGTCTTTCGATCTGCAGCGTCCAAGGCAGACCATCAGAAACAATGACTACAACAGAAGCAAAAAAGCAGCTACCCGTTGATCCCAGCGATTATCCTGGCAATCTGCCGCCAGAGACCATACTGAAGGTGCAGCAATGTGAAATGGATCAGACAACCATGGAGCTGTGCATGAGATGCGCCAAGGTGACCAAATCGGAGATCATCTATCCGATGTGCTGCAACAATGATGATAGTGTCAAGGACTGGTGTCACGCCTACGTCTACTATGGCAATGATGAAGGCTATTAACTCATTGATTCTCATTGTTGGTCTCCAGCTGGGAGACTTACTGGCTGAACTCTAATTTAAAAATCAATATCCTGGTATACTGCAAACAAACAAAAAAAAAACGCTGTGGGTCTATTGGCTGTGATATTATTATTTGTATACTTAAATTATTTGTAATTAGAAATAGGCAACAAGAAATTCGAAATTACGTTTTTCGAAATGGAATACAAATTATTTATTTTATTTTTACGTTTATGAATCAATAACGCATATCAAAAAGCCTTGAAATATTCTTTTCTGCTAATCAAATAAAATACACAAGTAAATACTTTTTATTTTTTATGTTGTTTTTTTTATTTTTTCCATTCTAATGTTCATTTGGTTTTTTTTTTTATATATATATTTTTCGAAAACTTTATAATGATTACAAATGTATTATTTAAAATGAATATTTGAACCGAAAATTGCCAGCGAAAGTAATTGCGGAAAATAATCAGTGAATGTATGTATATATGTATGTCAATTTCGGTGGCAACACAAACATGTACACATATATATACATTTATATATATACATATATATGTACACATATATGTACTCATATATATATATAAATATAGAGAGAGAGTAACCCAATTTAGCTTAACGACAATTAATATATTACAGTTCAAGCTGTTGCTCAATATTATTTTTTTGTTTTGATTTTTTGTTATTTTTTTGTCTCTTTTTTTTTCTGTTTTGTCTACGAATTTTTGTATATGGCAGTTGAAATGTAGAGCAAATGAACAAAATGCACAAACCGTTCGAACGGCCGTCGCGACATCATCGAACTTGCACCAGTTGACAACACCGCGTGATTTGTAACTGTACGGATATAAATGTATGTAACAAACAATGTTTCAACAAAGAAACCATCTATATATAAATATATATAACGATTTAAAAATCACTAGATCGAACTGCCAATCTCCATGTTGCTGCTGCCATCGCCGCTGCTGCTGTTGCCACTGCTGCCTTTGCTGCTGCTGTGGCTGCTGCTGCTGCTTTTTTGCTTGCTGCTCAATCAAACAATTCAGTCTTTGTTTGATTGCATTATTGTTTTCTGTTTTGTTTTGAATTATTCTGTTGTTCTTTGTTTTTGTCTCTGGTTGACTGAAAGCAACATTTAAATATAAAGTCGCGTGAAGAGTTCAACTTACCAGAATTCAAGCACGCTATTTAGAATGTTAAATGAATTAAAATTGTTTTTCTTTCTTTTTTTCTTTTTGATATCTGTGTGTGATTTTTTCTTTTTTCATTCACTGCTTTGGCCCGGTTGCAGTCAAATGCAGATATGAACAGTCCGTGTCCTCGCAGCGACCCATCAGATCAAAGGGACAAACGGTGGCATTGATATTCAGCTGGCTGCAAAACACACACACACAAATCTTCGCTGGTGAAACGCAACAAGCAATTGGAATCCACTCACCTGTTGTAATTTCGTGGCATCGGCGTACGATATTCGGCAAGCAGGGATTGCTTGATGGGTGGCTCGGACAACTCTCGCATAAAGCTGACCATCGACGGTGGCACATTCCGGACCACATTCGGGGGCAGGGTCTGCAAGTAGACTCGAATCAGTTTGTTAGTATGGGGGTTAGCACAGTTAGCACAGTTAAACAACAGCAATTTGAGCAGGTTAACATTATAGTTTTTGTGGGCAATAGTTGAGTATTTTATAAATTTAAATATATATATATATTTAGATATAAATATATATATATTGTTAAAAATCCACGCACATCAACTTCCAGCGGTGAGTCTGGGCTGACTGCTGCCTCTGCCCCAGCTTTGAGTGCAGTTCCAGCTGAGTTGTTATCACATTCATTTCGCTGCTCGATTTCAGGTGGCATCTCATCATTGGGTGGCGGCGGCGGCGGCGGCGTTTGGCTATCACAGTTGCTGCTGCTCAGCAGCTCCTGCTCCGGGTCCTGGTTGGGAGCCAGCTCAGTTTCAGTTTTGGTTACCGCTTGAGACTCGGACTCGGATGCGGGCTGTGCTTCGGCTGGCACTTCACATTGCGGCACATCGACGGGTATATTCTCATATTTAAGTATTGAATTATATAAACGTATGTCTTTGGTTAGCTGCGTCGATTTGCGTGTGATTTCCTCCTTGCCGGGATCGAGTAACCTGCAAATAAGCTTAGATATAGTATGGACTGGAATTAAATTGCGAATTGCCAACGCGTCCTTCGTAGGCACATTCCGGCGATCCCATGTTTTTCCCATCTTGTTGTAGTTGTCCACCACAGCAACTGGCTGCTGCTGTTGTAGTTGCTGTTCTGGGTGTTGTTGTAGTACCTGTAGTCGTAGCCCAGCAGGCCATTGCCCAGATCCATGGCGGCGTTGCGTAGCTTGTTGCGCTTTTGCTTGAGCGATATGATGATCTCGTGACTTGTCTGAATCTCCGGCTGAATGCGCGCCAATTTCATCTCCTCCAGTTTGACAGACTGCTTGATCGCCTGCATCTCGGCATAGAGTTCCTTCAGCCGTTTCGCATACCGCAGCCGAGCAATCTTTGTCCTCTTCGCCTCCTCGACCATATGCAGTGATTTGTCCAGATTTGCAATCATGCTGCAACTAATGAAAGCAATGGGAGCAATTAATATCTATTCGTACATCAATTTTCTATATAAATACCCGATTTTATGAAATGAACTCTCGAATGCTTTCAGTCGACTCTCTTTTGAGGGCTGTGCAGCCTTTGCCGCCGCCATTGAGGTAGTTGGCAGATCAGCATCAGCAACTGCGCTGTTTTGGGGCCCTGCCCCAGCTGTGGCCTTTTTGAGCATTTGTTTTTTGCCCGCTGACGCGTTGAGGGCAACTTTCTTTTCCACAGTTGCTGCTGACATGTCCCTTTTACTGACTGCCGCAGCAGAGGACTTGACGCCAACTTTCTTCTTCTCCAGCAGCTGCATGCGTTCGATAAGACGCAAGTATTCCCTTTGGGATGCCACTGGCAAATGGCGCACAGCCTGACAACGAAAGATGGGCAAGTTAATAATCAATATATAAATAAGGGTTTTAGCTAGTCTGATCTTACCACTGGTGTTGATTTGGTCTTTGGTGACATCACAGGAGACGTTTCAGCTTTTGTTTCAGGCAATTGGCAATCGTTGGATTTGGACTCGGCCTCCACATTTGATTTGCAGTTGCTGCTGCTCTCCATGCTGCTCTGATTGGTGGGCACCTTGGAGCGGGCCTGCTTTAGAAAATCATCGAGTTTCTTCTCAAAGTACTCATTGATGACAGTGCGCCGCAAGTTGGGATTGGTGGATGACGATGATGCCGACGCTGGTTCGCCCAGCAGTATCTCAGAATTGGGCGTATTAGAGCGGGTTGTGGAATTGCTGGCGCTATCGACGACCTGGCTGAATGGACTCGCATTGTCCGCATAGCAGCTGTTGTTGCTGGCGTAGCTGTTGTAGGCATAGCAGTTGCTCAGCTCCAGTTCGTCATCGCTGCCCGCCGATTCGGATTCGGCCAGCGCAATGACCAATTTGCTCACCTTAATGCTGGACGGATCGAGGGTGGTGATGAGGCGCGTTGAACTGGCGCCACTTGCATTGGGCCCGTGCAACGGAGCCACTGGCTCCTTGACAAGCAGCGTTGCTGGACGCTTGATGGCCGCCAATGGTTCGGGATGTTTGGATATTTTACGCTTCTTGTTGATCACCTTGTTGGGCTTCACGATCTTGATGATGTTCGAAGGGGCGGCGGGTGTGGGACTCGAGGGGGCTGCAACAGATGTGCCTGCAGCTTCCACAGCTAGTTGTGGTGGTGGCACTGGCAAAGGAGCAGGTACAGGCAAAGGAGCAGGTACAGGCAAAGGAGCAGGTACAGGCAAGGACAAGGACAAGGGCAAGGGAGGGGGCGCTGGAACGGGCGCAGGCACAGGCTGAGGAACAGGATCTGGTTCCATGGGAGGCAACGGGATGAGTGGTGGACTCTCCGGTGATTGCTGGACGTGGTCCTCCTCCTTGAATACGGGCGAGATAGCTTGAAAACGTCGCACGGCATTTAACAGAATCTCTGGACTCTCTGGCGCCAAATCCTCGGCAATGTCCATCTTCTTTTTGTACGCAATGCTGGTGAGCAGCAGCTGACGCAGCTCCTCGGGATCATCGGAATCGTGTGCCATGGTTTCCTCCATAATGGAATTAAGTTTCTCTTTGTCGGGCGTTGTTGTCGTCCCTTTGGCTGCTGGCTTGCGTCTGGAGAGGAGCAGGGCACGCAAAGCGGCCGCCTCATCATCACTGGACTCGGTGTGGAAATGACGCGAGGTTTGCGTTTGCGTCTGTGAGTTGTCCATCGATATGGATTGGATTTCACTCAGTGAATCCTGTTGCGAATGCTGATGATGTCGTTCATTCAGATGCAGTGCGTCCCGGGCATCCTCATCGTCCTCCAGCTGCACGTGTGGAATGTGAAACGATGGCGGCTGCGGCGGCAACTCATCCTCCTCATCGTTGTCCAACTGCTCCGATTTATACTGCTCTTCCTCCTCCTCTTCCTGCTCCTCGTCATCATCATCATCGATGACAATGGGCATGGAGACGGGCGGCAGAGCGTTGGGCATAAAGCAGCGCCAGCTGCCGCCGCTGTCCGCCAAAGAGTTGTAGTTGTGGGCCCATTGGGGTGGCTGTCTCAGCTTGCTGCTGTCCTCCTCGCTGTCCGTCTGCGCCAGTTCCATGTCCACCGGCTCCGCAAAGCGTACCGATGGCGGCGGCGGTGGGGGACTGCGTTCCGGCGATGCCGCCGGACTAATCTCCATGAGATCATCGATGTCGTCACACTCATTGCTTATCGTCGGCTGGTGCACCCGATTGATCAGGTCTGTGGGGGAATAGGCACGTTCGGCATCGCGCTTCTTGCGCGCCATATGCTTCTTCAGTATCGCCGATTTGAGCGCAATCAGACGCAAACTAATCTCGGACAGCTCACCGAGCAGCGGCTCTTGTCTCGGCTTCTGTTCTGGCTCGTTTTCGTGGTCCTCCTGCTCCTGCTCTTGGTCCTCGCCAGCGCTGCTGCGATGCTTACTGTATCCCTCAAATGAATGTGCCGGCAATTGCTCATCCGGCTTGCTTTGATTGCGACTCAAACTGAGTTCCGCAAAACGATCGGCGGGACTTGGCGGCGATTGATGCATGCGATACTGCAATCTCTCGCGCAGACTATGCTTCGGCTTGATGTCATAGTTGCCGGCACGTGCGAGGGCAACGCGCAGCTTATTTCTGCTCAGCTTTAAGCGCTCCTCGTACACATCGTTGTCATGCTCCACATTCATGTCATATTCACAGATCTCATCGTCCGTCACGCTGTCCAGCGAGTCCAATAAAATGGCAGACTGCTGCTGCTGCTGCTGTTGTTGTTGTTGCTGCTGATGATGATATTTGTTGCTGCTGCTGCTGTTGTTGTTCCGGCCGCCGCTGTTGTTGTTGTTATTGTTGTGATGACGTCGCTTCTTGCGTATGAGCGATGACTGTGGCTGGTTTGCATGCGGATTCCTTCGAATGTTTATGGAATTGTTGTGCTTTTTGCTCTCGTTGCGTTTCGCACGGTATTTGCGATACTTTTTGGGTGGGTCAAACTCCTCCGCCTCGGACAGACTGGACACATCCGAGAGTATGCTGATGGGCGAGAAATGCTGATACTTTGACGACGAATATCGCTCAAATATCTGCGGCCTTTGATAACCTAATATAAGTGATTGAATGCAAAATGAACACTGATTAGCTAAATTTGTATTTACTCGATGACTGCAAGTGTGGACACTAATCAAATACCAGATAAGAAAAGCGAAGCCATCTCTCCCTTCCTTCTCCTCAGCAATATATATACACTTTAACTTGAGATAGGCATAAATATGATTCGTCAATTCGTATCTTGAATCAACAATTATTTATATGAAGCTAAAATCATCAATGCCAGACCTACTTAACGAATAACTACTGTAAAATTGAGGTCTTTTAGAAATTTTAATTTAACGCTCGTTTTGCTTATCTTGAAAACCAAATTAAAAACTGAATTAATGCAAAACAATTTGAATAAAAATGCGAATTTTAAGAAACGCTTCAGGTTCCCACACTCTTGCAACATCTGCTTAATTTGCTATCTCATTAGGCAAGGTCACACCTTACCTCCCCTCACAGACACACGCACACAAAATTAGAACATGTTGCTTTACTTTGACAAATTGCTTACTGTATTGATTGGCCAAATTGGCGGCTAGCATATCCATTTTCTCGATGTCCTTGCTCTTGTCCTCGAGCTGTTGGATGCGGGCGCGCAGCTTGAACTCCTCATCCTCCGAGGAAATGATCATTTCGAATTCATCGACAATTTCCCCTTCCTCGCGATCCTCGTCTTCGTCGGCGGCATTTCCACAATTATCGACAATTTCAGCATTTTGTTCTTGAATTTGCGTGGCTTGCACCGTTTTCAGTTGTTCGTCTCTTGTATACCTCTGCATTGTGCAGACAACCATTTTTAACAAATTAGCAAATATATATATTCGATTTTCTGAGTTATTATGCACACTTGACGCTTTTAATCACACAGAGAAAAAAAAACTAATCGAACAAAAATTGCGTGTGACTGTATGTGTGTGTATGTGATTTTCTTTATTAAGAAGAAGAAGAACGTATGCTTCACAGGGATGTTACTTAACATTGTCAGATGACACGAACAGTCACATCAGCAATTCTGCTAACACAAATAAATATCGATTTCTGCAATAATCATAATAAAAACGATAATCTATATTCTTACTATAATATATTATTATCGATTAAATTGGAAAACTCTTTGTTCTTCTTTAAATATAAATAAACGTAACATTTCAGTATTGCAATACTATCGATCGTTATATAATATATTGAATATGTTAACAGAAACGTGACGAAAATTTTAAATCCTCGTAATACCCAGAAATGAATAGACTAGGAAAAATGCGTGAATTTATATTATAAGTAACGGTATTTAAATTAATTATAAATATACCATAGAAGAGCATTTGATTGAAATTTGCTTAGGGCTGTCTATGTTTGCCAGTGTTGTGAAAGGGGCTAATGCGCCCTCTAGATGTCGCAGCGAGAACTACAATTTACAGTTCAGTGTCAAATGTAGCGTTTCCGCTCTTTTCTACCCAACTCGCGGAGCAAAATGCAGCAAAAGGTATTTGTGCTTGTGAAAATTGTGCGAAATTGTGTTGAACTAAAAACAAAAATGTTGCAAATATTTCCATATTTCTAGCGCAGAGAACCCGTGCAGGCCGTGCAAGTCTTCGGACGCAAGGTGTGTGTGTAACCCAGACAAAATAAAGCGACAAATTCGTTGCACGTGTGCAAAACAGCAGCAGCAGCGGCAAAGATCCAAGCGACGCTCGTCTCTGCTGAGGTTATGTTTGTTTCAAATAATAATAATGAATATTTACAGAAAACCGCAACTGCCGTTGCTTACTGCAAGCGCGGCAGCGGTCTCCTCAAGGTGAACGGACGTCCCTTGGACCAAATTGAGCCCAAAGTGCTGCAATACAAATTGCAGGAGCCACTTTTGCTGCTCGGCAAGGTGAGTGCTCGATAAGTTGCCAATGGCCAGCCAGTGTTTGCAACGTTTGATTAGACAATAACATGATGATAACATTTATCCCGAACTTGAAGACAAATGAGAATACAATTGTTTCTGATTGCTTAAACTAGCATCTTAAACTTATTGAATTTAAGTATATTTATAATAATCGAATGATTGTCTTTGCAGGAGAAATTCGCCGGTGTTGATATCCGTGTGCGCGTCAGCGGTGGCGGTCATGTTGCCCAGATCTACGCCATCCGTCAGGCAATTTCCAAGGCGCTCGTTGCCTTCTATCAGAAATGTAAGTGTTATGAAATGTGCAAATGTGTGTGTGTTGTGGGAGCCCTACAAAGTTTTTGTTTGAAAGAATTTCATCTTTCCTGCAAATGAATAAATGGCGGCCAGAGAAACCATCAATTATGAGCATATACCAACCAAACTGCATGCAGAATGAAAACAAGCACAGATTGGGTGATGCGGCAAAAACACTTGAATAAATTTCATTAACGTATTAGTTAAGGGCACCTTCTACCAGATTTTTGTTGGAAAATATTTATGCCATTTCCAATGAGCGACAAATGCAAGGGAAATTAAATGAATGTGGCAATCAAAACGAGTGATTTGTGCAATTGCAATTACTATTTGAGGCTACAACGACACTTTTATTATGATATGCAAATAAGATGAATTTAGAAAGTAACTCGTGCTAATTGTACTTATTTTATCCCATTGCAGACGTCGATGAGGCCTCCAAGAAGGAGATCAAGGACATTCTGGTCCAATACGACAGAACCCTGCTCGTTGGCGATCCACGTCGCTGCGAGCCAAAGAAGTTTGGCGGTCCAGGTGCCCGTGCTCGTTACCAGAAGTCGTACCGTTAAGCTTTCAAATTGGTTTAGATATTTTGTACAACTTGAAAACACGTTTGCGGGTTTATCTCTCATTTCAACAGCGAGAGTAAGCATGTGAATAAACGGAAAAATTAACTTTAAATATTTGCTACAATCTTGTTCTTTTTTAATGTGCATGTTTAGATTAGGGGCTGTCACTATTATTATTATAGTTGATTGACAATGATAACTATCGGAAAGTAGAATTGTCTACAAATAATAATTGTAATTCTAAATTTTGAATCGTTTTGTGACATCGTTTGCGTTTTGTCAACGAGATCGATATCAACTCGACGACTTTTTCTTGCGATAGCTGCAACGTATCGAGCATATCGATAGACTTTGCGCATCCCTAGCGTCGGCATCGCAATTCAGAAAAAACGGCGGCACTTTTTTTTCCTGCGTCGTATGTAAAGTTGAATCTTTGCTGCAACTGTGCAAAAATGTATGTGAAGAAGCTTGTGCTTGACGGCTTCAAGTCGTATGGCAAGCGCACAGAAATCGATGGCTTCGATCCCGAATTCACGGCCATCACGGGCCTAAACGGTTCAGGCAAATCAAATATTTTGGATTCGGTCTGTTTTGTGCTGGGCATAAGTAATTTGCAAAATGTAAGTATAATGGATGCATTGAGTCTGCCACAGAATTATCAATTGTGTGTGTGTGTGTTTTAGGTGCGTGCATCTGCGTTGCAGGATCTAGTGTACAAGAATGGACAGGCAGGGATAACAAAGGCAACAGTTACAATTGTCTTTGACAACACAAATGCGGCTCAATGTCCGCCGGGATATGAGAAATGCCGTGAAATCTCCGTCACCCGGCAAGTGGTTGTCGGTGGCAAAAACAAGTTTCTCATCAATGGCAAACTGGTGCAGAACAAGAAAGTGCAGGACTTCTTCTGCTCCATGCAGCTCAACGTGAACAATCCAAATTTTCTCATCATGCAGGGCAAAATTCAGCAAGTGCTGAACATGAAACCAAAAGAGGTAATAGTCATAAGAATATCAATAATATGAAATGTCAATAACCATTCCCGATAAACATAGGTGCTGTCCATGATTGAGGAGGCTGCCGGCACCAGCATGTATAAGTCAAAGAGAGATGCGACCAAAACACTCATTGAGAAAAAGGAGGCCAAGGTGCGCGAAACTTCGATGCTGCTCGATGAGGAGGTGCTGCCCAAGCTGGAGAAGTTGCGCAAGGAGCGGGCCGCCTACCAGGAGTACCAGAAAACGGTGCGCGACATTGAGTTTCTCACGCACATTCACATCTCGGCCACATATCTGAAGCTGGACGATGCCCTCCAATCGGTGGAGGCCAACGAGCAAAAAATCGAGCATCGCATCACCACTTGCCGCGAAACGCATGCCAACAATTTGGATGAAGTGGAGCGCATCGAGGGCACTGTGAAGGAAATCCACCACAAAATCGATAGTGAGATGGGCGGCACTCTCAAGGCGTTGGAGACAGAACTCGCTGCCAAGCGTGCCGTCGAGGCAACTGCCTCGGGCAGTCTGAAAGCAGCCAAGGGCACCATTGAACAGGATGAAAAGAAAATACGCATGGCCAGCAAGAATATTGCGGAAGACGAGCGTACGCTGCTCAAGAAACAGGAGGCCATGTCCAACGTTCAGGGCGAATTCCAAAACCTCAAGGATGCGGATGCAGCGGATACCAAGGCCTATGAGGATGCACAGCGTAAATTCGAGGCCGTATCCCAGGGCCTATCCACCGATGAGGATGGCCAGGCTGTCACACTGCAGGAACAGTTAATCGGTAAGTTTCTCACTCGATGTGTGTGAACTGAACTAATCTTGCTCCTGCTCCTGCATTAGCTGCCAAACAACATTTGAGCGCGGCACAGACGACAATTAAAACCTCCGAAATGGAGTTGCGCCACACGAGGACTCTGCTCCAGCAGAAGCAGGGTGAGACGCAGACAAATGATGCGGCCTACATCAAGGATAAGAAACTGCACGATCAGCTCGAAGGGGAAATCAAGAACATGGAACGCCAACTGCAGGGCCTCAACTACGAGGACGGCCACTTCGAGCAGCTGAAGGAGCGCCGCCAACAATTACACAACCAGGTGCGTGAGCTGAAGCGAGATGTGGAACGTCGCAGTGATCCACGCTATGTGCTCCATTACCAAGATCCCGAGCCCAATTTCGAGCGGCACAAAGTTCGCGGCATGGTGGGCAAGCTGTTCAAGGTCAACGATATGGTTAACTCCATGGCTCTAATGATGGCAGCTGGCGGCAACGTAAGTGCTTTTTATCCTGCCAAAACCTAGTCCTGATGTTGCTGAAAATCTAATTCATATTTGGCAGTTGTATAGCTTTGTGACCGACGATGATGTGACCAGCAAAAAGATCCTGCAACGTGGAAATCTACAGCGTCGCGTCACCCTGATTCCACTCAACAAGATCAGGTTTAATGCGCTGAATCAAAAAGCCATTGATTACGCAAAGGCCACAGTAAGTAGATTTGACAACAGAATATTGACTTTGTTTGGAATCCATTTATAATCCTGCTGATTGCAACTCGCTCTCTGCCTTTCAGTATGGTCGCGACAATGTGGAGTCTGCTTTGGCGCTCATTGATTACGATCGCTACTATGATCCCGTAATGAAGTATGTCTTCGGCGGCACTCTCATATGCAAGGATCTGGAGGTGGCCAAAGGGGTGAGCATGTGATGTGATTTCTATTTTATATATTTACTAGATATATATTGCCCTTTAGCTAAGCGCTGATCGCAACATTGGAGCACGTTGTGTAACCCTAGAGGGTGACGTTGTGGACGCAATTGGTACATTGTCCGGTGGAGCGGCGCCCAAAGGTGCCAATAAACTTGAAGAATTGAACAGCATCAGAATTCTGGAGAACGAGCTCCAGCAAAAGATGAATGAACTGCAGCAAGTGGAGCAGCAATTAGCGTAACGAATTCTAATTCCAAGCAGCACGAGACAATTTAATCATCTCCACTCTTTTTTGTAGTTCCATTGAGAATCTGGCACGCAGCCACAACAAGTTGAAGGAGTCACTTGAGCTGCGCCAGCATGAGTTGTCCATGTGCAAGACTCGCTTGTCGCACACCGATTTCCAGCAGAATCAGGCGGAAATCGAAGAGATGCAACAGAAAGTGAAAAGCTTGGAGCAACAGAATGCCGATGCGCGCGAGAAACAAAAGAGCTCCCAGGCCAAGGTGAAGGATGTGGAGGCAAAGCTATCCGATGCAAAGGGTTATCGCGAACGCGAACTCAAAGCGGTCAGCAATGAGATTAAGGTGACCAAGCAGAAGGCCGAGAAATCGCGTGCCAACTGGAAGAAGCGTGAGCAGGAGTTCGAGACGCTGCAGCTGGAAATTAGTGAGCTGCAGAAGAGCATTGAGACGTCCAAGCAGCAGCATCAGGAGATGATCGACAATCTCGACAAGTACAAGGCCGAGTTGGATGCCCTGCAGCGGAATAGCTCGGGGGCGGCAACGGAAGTTGCCCAACTGGAGGCAGCGATCAAGCAGCAAAAGGACAGTCAGAATCAACAGAACAGGGAGATGCGTACGCTGCTGGCCAAAAAGGATAAACTGCTCAAGCACAACCAGGAGCTTGAGCTCGAGGTGAAGAAGAAGGAGAACGAAAAGAAGAAGATTAGTGGAGAGGCACAGGATGCCAAGACGCGTATGAATGCGCTGGTTGTCAAATATCCCTGGATACCAGAGGAGAAGAATTGCTTTGGCATGAAGAACACACGCTACGACTACAGCAAACAGGATCCGGTTGAGGCGGCCAACAAGCTGGTCAGCATGCAGGAGAAGAAGGCCAAAATGGAACGCACTCTGAACATGAATGCGATGCAGACACTTGAGCGCGAGGAGGAGAATTACAATGAGACGGTGCGTCGTCGTCAAATCGTTGCCCTCGACAAGGAAAAAATCAAGAAGATCATTGTCAAGATGGACGAAGAGGAGCAGGGTCAGGTGCAGCGCGCCTACGAGGCGGTCACTCAAAACTTTAGCAGTATATTCAGCACCCTGCTGCCGGGTGCCGAGGCACTGCTCAAACCCGTCCATACCAACGGCATCCTGAGTGGCCTCGAGATAAAGGTCGGCTTCAATGGCGTCTTCAAGGACAGCCTGGGCGAGTTGTCCGGTGGTCAAAAGTCTTTGGTGGCTCTGTCGCTGGTGCTGGCCATGCTAAAGTTCTCACCAGCTCCGCTGTACATCCTCGACGAGGTGGACGCCGCGTTGGACATGTCGCACACCCAAAACATTGGCAGCATGCTCAAGCAGCACTTTCGGGACTCGCAGTTCCTCATCGTCTCGCTCAAGGATGGCCTCTTCAATCACGCGAATGTCCTGTTCCGCACCCAGTTCTTGGAGGGCGTCTCAACCGTTTCGCGCACAGTCAGCCGCGTTGCAAAGCGTTAGTTGTTGCTCCTTAAGAATTCCAAATAGAATCATCCACATCTTGTTCTCATTGCATACATGAAGTATAATCAATAAAATAGCGCATATTATTATTATTTATTTTAATTTCCCTTATAGCAGAAACTAATTTAACTACTGCTGAAACTTGAATATTAATGATTTATTATTATATTACCTATTTGATGAGAATGTTATTCAAAGATTGAAGCCATTGATGGTTTTTTTTTGTATTATTATTTTAAATATATATTAAACTAAACTGCTTTAATATCTTGAAACCGTTTCTAATATGAATATTTTTTAATTAATTTACCCATGAAATGTTTAACAATATATTGAAACTTGAATATCAATAATATTTCATTAAATTACCTACGATTTGAATATAAAAGGTTTTAGTTTGCCATATTATTTATTATAATTCAAATACATATATTTAACTTTGTTGCTCGAATAATTTGCAACCGTGTGTAAAATGAATATTTTTGTATTAAATTATCCATGAAATGTTTGGAATGTTTTCTCTCAATTACCCTCGACTAAATGTAAATATTATTTAATAAATCTATAAAATATTTCATAAGAAAATAATTGTTATCTTTCATATGGGGCGCGTAGTAAATTTCCAACAGGGTTGGCTGGCTGGCCCAAACGTCAAACTGACGTTTGGTCATAGCGACAAAGAGAACGACACTGACAGTCGTTTGGCTTTAGATTGCAAGCGCACTTGCCAGACAGAGACAGAACGTTGGTGAGACCGTCGACGAGACGAACGCACCGCGCAAAGCCCACACATATGCACACACACAGACACGCGCGCACACACTGACAGACAGACAGACAGACACCACTCAGGCAACACACAGAACAGCGACTACGACAATGTTGGTGGAGTGCAGCTGTGAAAAATTGAAACAAAAGTGCTAAAATTTGATTATTAACGGAAAACAAAAAAATATTCAACATTTCCAACCAACGCAGATTCCTCAAGAAGCTCGTCAACATGGTAAGAAGGCAACCAGCGCATTGCTGTCTCAATTTGTGCATTCGATTCACAAACTCGAAATCAAAATCCAAGTCGCTTGGCTCTTTGCTCAGTATCCACACAGTGCTTATGTGTGTGTGTGTGTATTTGTGAGTGTCTGTGCGTGAGTACAAAAAAAATTCTATAAATTGTATACGCGCTGCTTGTGTAGCGTCCACGGACAAGACAGGTGGGGGTCACCGTCACCAACGCGTCGGGACAGTCGTAATAAACAGTTGATTCGATTGTATTTTCATTTATTTGTTATTCAATAGCAACATTTTGTACACAGTTCTCAGAGGCCCCTGTTATTTGCGAAGTACCGGCTTTAATGCACAAGAATAAGAAAGCAGAGGCATAGCAGTTTAGTGAGACATGCAATTATTAATAATTTATCTTATTAATGTAATATAATATTATATTATATATAATATTTATATTTATTTACTTTCATGCTAGAATCTAGTTAATTGTGTTTCAGCAACATTCCTTTTGTTTAACATTTAAGTGTTACCAGAGTTGCCGGACTGCATTTGAATAACAGCTGTTCTCATGTTATTATTTACATACATTTCACAAATTTGAAATTCAACAAAAATAAAATAGTAATAATAAAAGAAGTGCATAGATCCCATATGATGTTATATTGCGAAAGTAATATTCTGCTTGCCTTAATCCTCCATTTTGCATTTCATCTTTTATATTAATTCAAACTTTTTAACAATTTGATTCAAGGATCGAGTGACAAAACCGCAAAAAAAAATGCTCATCACATTGCTGCGCGAGACAAAATACATGGAGGGCAAAAAGGAGAAGGAATGGTATTGGGAGAAGATCCAAGCGGCGCTGAACACCATCGGCCCAAAGAAAACAATCATACAGTGGAAAAAGGTGAGTATTCATCTCCCCTTCATATCGATTCTCTATTGAAATCTCTCTCTTTCTCCCCCTTCGATCTCGCAGTGCTGGCGCGATATGCGTTTGACGACGCGCAAGAAGCTGGCGGAGCTGAAGCGTTGCCAACTGTCCGGTGGATCACCGCCACCGGGCATTGAGCTGAATCAGGAGGATAATGATATTATTGACATTGTGGGCACCGAATACTTTTACGAGGAGATGAATGGCGAGCTGAAGCCGGAGAATTTTATGACGGGTTTTGATTATGTGCCGGAGCACTTTTGTGATGCCATATTGACGGCTGCTGCGGGTCAGCAGCAACAGCAGCAGCAGCAGCATATGCAACATTCGAAGGATCCGCAGTCGCACAGTGGTCAGCAGCAGGCGCAGGATCATCATACCAATGATGGGGAGACAAACGATGCGCCCGGCTCCTCCAATGGTGGTTCGTATCAGGGCCAGAATGTCAGCCAACTGCAGTCGCACAACGGTGGCGGAGGAGGCGAACATGGCAATGGAAATGGCACACAGCCGCATCCCGGGATGCCGCCGCATCCAGCGTTTCATGGCGGGCTACATCCGCATCTGCTGAGGCGCCAGCACACAAATGCTGCACTGCAGCGCGAGACACCGTTCGAGGAGAAGCTGCTGCAGTTCATGCAGGATGCGTTCCCCAAGAAGAGTAAAAAGCGGAAGCAGCGTGATCCTGACAAGCTCTTCCTCCTCTCCCTGTACGAAGAGATTAAGCGCGTTCCCGAGGAAATACGACTGGATGTGAAGTCCGAACTGATGCAGATCTTGAAGAAGTATCAAAAGAAATCACCCGTTAAGGCGGAAAAGTCCTCCACATCGACATCTTCTGCAGTGGCCAAGCAGAGCAACAATAGCAACAGCAGCAGCAGCTCTGCATCCGCACATCTCTCGCACGGCATGTATCAGCTGCAGAAGAAGTATGAAAAGGCGGAGAAGGAGGCGTTGCCGCTGTCGCCCGTGGATCCGGTGCCGTTGCATGCACCGCAGCAGCTGCCACTATTCCAGCTGCAGAAGAAGTACGAGGAGACCGCCGAGAAGGTGCATCAGCAGCAGAACGAACAGCGTAAACTGGAGGCGGCGCATCAGCAGCAGCATGCTGCCCACCAGCAGCCGCCGCCGCCGTCAAATGAGCAGCATTTGCATCATCCGCAAATGGCGCATAATATCATGTTCCCGCCGGCCCAGCATCATGCCCACAATCCACACCAGCAGCAGCAGCAACAGCAGCAACAGCAACAACAGCAGCAGCAGCATCCCCACCAGCAGCATCATCCGCCAACGATCTTTGGCACACCCGCCAGTGCTGATCGTCCGGCGATGTCCTATGAGAATGTCGGGTGAATGTTGAGCCGTCTGTGGGAAGCCACTTGTGGAGCGCGCCCTTCGACGGTGTCCCCCACGACGGCAGACGCGCACAACAGCTGTTAAGCAATCAAGCACAGTCAATCCAACTAGTAACTAGCCACCAGAACGAGATCTGCTCGAAGACAGAATGAGAATTGGGTTCGGGTTCGGGATCGAGATCGAAATCGGAATAGGTCCTCTAATGCCGGAACTGTGTGCAACAATTTGTTTTAAACATTAGGTTTAACAAACAAACGTAGTTTTAATCCTTATGCTAGCTTCTATCATGTAGCCATGAAATGATCTTCATGTAAATGCCTTTGGAATACGTTCTAATTGGCGCATCATCAATAATTGCATATGTATATAGATAAGATATACATAAAATTGATTAAAAAAAAACAAACAACATATTGAAATTGTGACATTTATTTTCAATTACAAAACAAATGAATTTAATATATGTATACAAAATACTAAAAAACTGAACTTGTCTTATCATTATGATTGCTAATTATAATTTATAATTATTATATGGACATATCAAGCTGATAATGGGAAAAAAAGTGTATAGTATCGCGGATCAGTCTAATCTTTAAGCTCTGATTATATTATTGATTGGAAATGTAGTTTTGAAAGTAACTTGAGGCATTTTATGTCTTAATTTTCTTATAGATAGATAGATAAAATCCTAGCAATTAACGAAAATTAATAATGACGAAAGAAATGTTGATCAAAGAGTTAATTCAGACACAAACGTATTAATCTTTTATATATATTCTAAAAAAGTTATAGGGTCATAGATAAATATGATATATATTTAAAAATCTTTGGCTCTTTAAACATAAATAAAACTCTAGCAATTTACTAAAATCAAAAATGATTGTAGGAATTTTGTTGAATTTCTTTAACTTAGCTTTCTTAACTTTGAATAATAAGAGTAGCATCTCTTGCTCCATAATAGGAATAATCTTTTTATTTTATGAATTAGTTCACATTTCTATGGTTCTTTATTTCTATGGCCTTTAATAGATGTGCACATCTTATGAATTACCATAATTTGTGTCGCATTTGTTCAACAGATTAGATACCAATTGATAGTGAGAACTTGCCACAGCTCACAAAAAGATTCGACAAGCCAAACAATACAAAAACAAAACGAACAACAGCCACCCAAACGATCTGTTCAAAAGTTAATTTAGTTTTTATTTACAGGTCGTCGGTATACGAACACCTCTCGCGTATCTCTGTGTCGTGTAATAAAACGAGATTATGATCCCAGATAGCATTGCACATATCACTCAGTCGATTCGCATCAAGCAGCGAGATGTGCACTTATCAGTTGTGTGGGATGTGTGAATGGATGTGCGACTCTGCTGCTATAGATCCGAGTAACCATTATGGCCAGCAAACCGTTGGCATTCTAGTCTGGCCAACGGCCCAGTGCGAATCAAAGTTAGGATACCAAAGCGGTAGATCATCCTAACAGGAGGCAGTAATAATAATAATAATCATTATTCTTAACTGATTCTGCAATACAAAATCTACAATGGCTGGTATGATTAAAGAATTGCATTCAAGTGATTTACTTTAATTTAATTTAAGTTGTGTATTCAAACTGGTGCAAAGAGACTGCTTGTAAATTGGCTTCTGTAATTTGGTTCAAGATCCAACAGACATAAAACCACAAGTTGCCTTCGCTTGTCGTTTCTGGTTGCGACTGAACAAGTCCAAAACCTTGAGAGGTGTTGCTACTAATTGTTAATAATTCATATTCAAATAATAATGTATCCGACTTCATTTCAGTTGAGGCGCGTACCGTGCTCTGGTATATGACATTTGTCGGTTTCATTGTCAACTATATGCTGCGTATTAATTTGAATATCACCATTGTGGACATGATTGCCGGCGCTGGTGAGCCCAAGTCCGCGCTGACTCACAATCTGACGCAACTGGGCAATGGAAATGCCAGTTCCGCAAACTCATCGCATCTGATGGCCGCCGTGTCCACTCAGAATGCTAGTGGCCACCACACCGAACCATATTCGCTGGAGCGATGGTTTCTTGATTGGGCAAATGTGAGTAAGAGCTGCGTGTGGAATTCGAATGGGTATGCATCAGTGCAACATGAGGCATATTCATGACGCATGTCATTTATATATATTACATTTATTTAATTATGTGTGGAATTGACAATTTTCATATTTACAGCACTGAGAAAAAATTTATTCGAGCATGAAAAATACTTTAAAAAATAGCATCCTTCAAAAATACATCTTTGAAAATAGTTTTATATTGCACTTTAACAATATCAGTTGAAGCATATTTTCCATAATTCAAATAAACTCATAAATGAAGAAAGAAAAGTAATAATTTTCATTGAATAATTGCAACAGCTTCTTGTTTATAAATATGTCTAAAAAATAACATATATCTGTGCAAGTTAGTAAGTAATCCAATCCCATTGCAGATAGACTACGACAGGAATGGTTTCCATTGGAATGAAAAGGAGCAGAGCAACCTGTTGGGCTCATTTTTCTGGTTGCATTGGGTGCTTCAGTTGCCCGGCGGAATTTTGGCACGTAAATATGGCACAAAACTGGTCTTTGGACTGGCGAATGGCATTGGAGTATTCTGTTGTTTCCTCATACCGATTATGTCCTACTGGAGCTATGCAGCTTTGCTGTGGCTGCGAGTCTTTCAGGGATTCGTTACTGTGAGTAATACTCATTAATAAAATCGATATTTGCATATTTAAATTTATTGAATATCATTCGTCATATATAAATTCAGAATATCAACCACTTTTTGCTTAAGATTTATATTTTTGCCAAAGGAACACCTTTCATTCAAAAATAACTTATTATTATTATATATTCAAGACTTTAACTCTTTCGCTTTTATCGACATTTTCTTCAGGGTTTGGCTTGGCCCTCGATGCATGTGCTCACTGCCAAATGGATACCGCCCAATGAGCGCAGTAAATTTGTGAGCGCCTATTTGGGCAGTTCGGTGGGCGTGGCGCTATTCTATCCAATATTCGGTTATATTATCGCGTGGACCTCCTGGGAATGGGTATATTATATTTGCGGCATCTTCGGCATGCTGTGGTTCACTGCCTGGCAATTCCTCGTCTTCGACAGTCCCGCTCAGCATCCCCGGATTGCACAATCTGAGCAGCGTTACATTGAAAAGTCCTTGGGTGCCTCGGTGCAGAATAGCACGCCTGGTCCGACGCCCTGGAAGGCGATTGTTACGTCGCGACCCGTCTGGATGAACGTGGTGGCACAGTGGGGCGGCATCTGGGGTCTGTTTACGATAATGACCTACGGACCAACATATTTCCGGCTTATACATCACTGGAATATCAGAGCGGTAGGCAAAAAAATGAAGATCTAAAATGCTTTGCGATTTTTCATGAATATTCTTCAATTGTCAAAGAATTACACAGTTTTTAATTTGATATATCATTTTATCAAATTGATTCTTTTATTTACAAATTATTATTTTATTTTTTAGTTAAGGTACTCGTAGCTCCTTTTAAATGTCCCTTTTTCTATTCTTTGCAGACTGGCTTCCTTTCCGGCATGCCACATCTGATGCGCATGATCTTCGCCTATATCTTCTCAATGCTCGCCGATTATCTGCTGCGCACGGATCGCCTCAGTCGCACCAAGGTCCGCAAACTGGCGACGGCAATTTGTAAGTGGAGTCGCCGACAAATTATTCGATTTATTTCACACAATTTTATTCGATCTAACTTGCAGGCTGTGGTGCCAAAGGAGTTGTGGTGCTGGCGCTGGCATACTTTGGCTATAATGCAACGGCTGCCATTGTACTGTTAACAGTGGCTACGATGTTCCATGGCGCCGTCTCCTCCGGACCCTTAGCCTCAATGGTGGATTTATCACCGAACTATGCGGGCATAGTTCTTGGCGTTAGCGGCATGATTGGTGTCATGCCCGGATTTATATCACCCTTTATAGTGGGCATCCTAACACAGGGGAATGTAAGTTGATTGCTCCTTGTTTGAACATATTTGTTGTCGATATTTCCACAGCATAAAAACATTTTAAGCAATATAAAAACGTTGTTCATTTTATACATATTTTAATCGTTTCTATTACATTGATGCAGCAAACGATGGAAGCCTGGAATCATGTTTTTATGCTATCAGCAGCAATGCTAATTGGCAGCGGCATCCTTTACGTCCTGTTTTCGGAGTCAACGTTGCAGCCCTGGAACAGTGGCAGCCACGATGCCGGGCTCAAGGAGCTGCAGACAATTGAGGAGAAACTGCCGCTGCAGGTCAATGCAGAGGATGATCCTAATGCCACAGTCAAGTCTGCTGATAAATGATAGGAGCGGACAGTTTAATTGGCATAAGATCATTTAAGTTAAAGCCAGCGCTTGTGATAAGCAGCCTAAAAGGCACAACAAAGTTATCAAAACTCATTTCTATTTGTATACAGCTCACTTAAATATAAAAAGATTCATTGCATTAGGACTGCTATTTGCTGTTTGCCAAACTATTGCACTCAGATGTCTATTCGAAATCGCAATCACGATCACTTCATGCTCAGATTGTGTTTGTGTTTGTTCTTTTGGGTAAATAAAATGTGCGAACTGAATGTTAAACAAAACTCTTGCGATTTATTATTCAATGTTGGCAAAAGCTGTGAGTTTGCTTTATGACCATAGAAACAATTTAAGCTAGATATTAAAACAAAATCCAGCGGAACTTGACAACGAAAGTGCAAAGATAAGAATAAGTAAATATTTTGACGCAGTCTTTTCAACTAAATAATGTTTATCATTCAACAGGCTTAGCTTTAGTTTTTTTTTATAGATATACATCTACACTTAACAAAAATATTTAAACGATTGTAGATGCTTATCAATATATCTCAGATAAAATGCTTTATTTGTGTATAAAATACTGTACTCTATACTTAGACGACTTTTTTTTTTTAAATAATAAAATAATTTGCATAAATGAAAACTTGTCTGTTTTGACATAAATTAAAGACTTTGAGTAGCTAACATTTTATTATGTTTATACGGAGAGTATTCTAATTTTGTTTGTCAAGTTTGGAACGGATTGAAGAAGACATCTCCGATACCACTGGCCGTCTGTCTCTGTCTGTGCGAACTAGTTTCTCAGTCTGGAAGAAGTCTATAATTTCAAATTTTGGAACTTGCGGCTAATTATGATCAACTTTATTACTTTAAAAGCACGTAACCAAAATAAATACTCTTATTCCAATTATAAATGTAAATTCAGAACTTTCAAGTTATTTGTTTAGTCGGAATCATTTATTGCATGATTGCATAACTTTATGCGGATATCTAAGAGGAGCATATATCTGCCCCTTACGGTTCTAGTTAATATTTGAACAGAGTTGGCCTGCGAGTTGAACTTGTTGAAGTTGAGTTAATAATTGCAATTTAAATCAAAGCTGATTGAAGCGTAAAATCGTTTTCGTCCTTGTTGCATTCGTATTACGGATATGCGCAGTTCGCCGCTCTCATTACTCATGCCACAAGGTGTACAATTGGATATTGGATGTGGATGTGGATGAGGATGTGGCCAGCCGAGCACAGAATCGCCCTTTGCCCATTGGCAACTGGCAACTGGTGTTGTTTTTGTGTTTCGAAACCATCTTAGTTTTTTCTTGCATTGGCATCCATTTCGGATTGCACTCCAGGGAGTCGTAGATTCCACAAATGCCCAGTTTCCTTCATCCGATTTGGCACTCTTATTCTCCCTCACTTTCTCACTCTCCCTCTCTCCCTTTCTATCTCTCTCTCTCACACACTCACTCTCTAACTCTCTTTAATCCAGTCAATGTCCTGTCACTTGATCCCGCAGCAAAGTCAAAAAGAAAAAAACAAAAAACTGATAGAGATTAATTGGTTTCCCATTACACGATTCGTTACCAGCATTCGTAATGGCTGGAAAAATTGGAAGGTGCCATCAAGCCAAATAATGCGATTATTTAACACCATAAAGTCGCTAGAAATTTGAACTGAATATTGAAAAGAATACACAAGAATACAAGAGTTCAAATTGGAAACTGTGAAAATTCTTCGACCATTAAGATAACCACTTCCATAATCTGATGCTTTTTAAATTTTGCCTGCCGTTATTTATTCATATAAGAAATTATCGCTTATTTAATCGCATATTCAAAAGCCAGCGGGCTTTTATTCTTTGTGCCAATGCTCATTGAATGTGAAGTGTGCTTCAGGTGTTGTTTCTGTACCCACCCATTGTTGCTCCATTTTGCATATGTACAAAGTACTTACTTGCAATTTTGCTTTGCCATTTGGATTATCAGTCGACGTGTTTCTCAAACGAATTCTACAGAGACATTGTCGCTGTTGGCTGTAAACAACAGTTATCTCTATGGCTTTCAAACAAAGAGCCCGCTAAACCTAAAGCCCGACTTCATCTGAAGCTGTTACAACAATAACAAGTAAAAACAGACAAAAAAAAACACACAAACATTGCGTATGGATTTGCCAAATTCCAGTGGAGCAGAACAAACAAAAAAAAAAATGTTCCTGTGGCAGGCAGGAAGTAAATTCAATCGTAAACAACGCAATCAAAAATTCATTCAAACGAAGCATTAACGCTTATTCCGTTTAGCCAGCCCCCTCCCCCCAAACCCCTATCTGAAACCATAAGTTGGGGGAGGCTGGGAGAGAGGGCGTCGTTCGGGATTGGGATCGTTTGTCTCGCGCTGTCTCATTGTCAAAATGCAACAGGGCGGTTGCCCAAAAAAAAAAAAACAGAAAACAGAAAACCGTGCAGTTGACGGGGCGGAGTTTTTATATCCTTAACACATTTGATGTGGATGAAGGGGCATATTGACACTGACAAACGGATTGAAATATTTTAGAAGTTCAACGGCAAAACATGTAAATCAAAATCATAACTAAACAGGCAAAGCAAAAACATTTCGTTGCAGATTTGCTTCTGTTGTCGATAAGTTAATCTTTGTAATTTTCACTTACACACAAATACTGTATACAGGGTATATTCTAGTGTGGTCCTTTTGTGACTAGAGCAGTCTGGTTTTAATTTTCAATTTTTGCCGTGCTTGTTTTTTTTTGCGCCACTTAGGCAGCTACATTTGTTATATGTGGAGTTTCAGTGCCTGGTTGCGAGTTCTCCGGTTTTTTTTTCTTCTCTAAGTTCCGGGCACGTCGGTTCATAATTTTCCATTCCCATTCAAACGCCACGTTGAATGAGACCACGAAGAGCGACGAATAAATTGTGCATGGTGTGTGATGCAAGGAGAAAGAGGAGCAGGAGAAGGAGGAGGTGGATTTGTGTAGCTGTACCTGTTTGCATGTGAAATTTGGGGGCACGTGTTTACACACACACAACATATATTCAGGCGTGTGTTACAGTACCGGAGGCATTCAGTAACAATGAGGCGTGGTGTATAAGTATCTGTGGCAATAAATTTAATTTGCCCAGTGAAAAAACATCGCAAATCCATTTTTTATGCCATATATTCCTTTGTTCCCATGTGCATTGGGCGGGCTTGCATCGGATTAATGGATGTGCGAACATGCATATAAGAGTTGAGGGCATGCAAATAAGCAACACACATTTTTTAAATCTGTTTAATGGCAACTCCATTTTTTATACATTTTACGAAAAAAATAAAATACAGCTGAAAAGAGTGCACAATTACAGAAGAGCATAAAACCCATGACCAATACAAATAACGTCTTAGGCAAGCCACAGATTCCATAGCCTTGCTGAGCATAGTCAACTTGACGACATCTAAAATATAGTATAAATTAAAATAAAACACACATTGTCCGTCTGAAAGCTATAAGACATAGTTGCTCCATATTGATGGTATTTTTCCCATTTATGATTCCATTTCTAGTCTGATTAAGGCATATATCTAGAAAAATCTATATACCTTGTGGGGCAGAAGACATTTCCTGTAATTAACTACAAGCTTCAAGGATATGGAAAATTTTGACGGATCAAAAATATCTTTAATTTTGATAAAGTTTTCGGTTATTAAAGTCTTGTAAACAATTCTAGAGTCGTTAAGTGTCAAAAATATGGGTTAGTTTATTAACATTTCTCTCAAATTGATGCATAAATTTTCCTACTTATTATTGATTAAGATGCTTCTAAATTTTGTGCAACTTGGCAACCTTTGTGGTTTTTGAAGAATGCAATGTGAACTTATTCATTATAATTAAATATGTAGTTAGGGGCAACATCTATAATCTTTAATTTACACATCAGTCTTGACTCCCTGATGGACTTAGACCCACTCTCTGTCCCATTTAATGAGAGACCACCCATTCCAATCGCCAAATACGCCCACTCAATCATAAATATTATTAATAATGTGTGCGGTTGCGGTTTTGTGGGTTTTCCTGAGTTTTCTCAGTGTGTGGTGTGTGTGTGTTTTGCTCTTTGCACTTGCGTGTGTGCCTTCAGGCTAATTTATTTAGTTTAGTTTAGTTTGGTGAGGCGGCAGAAACTAGAAACTTTAGCGCTACCCACCACAAACTTGCTCCATGACTAACAACAACAACAGCTCTCTGTGGGGAGCTGTTTGAATGTTTGAATTGGCGAAACTCAAGTTTTGCTCCAGTAAGTTAGTTGACTTTGTCAGTTTTTCGGCTAACATATATCTATATATACGTATATAGAAATATGTATTTATCCTGTGGCTCTGTCATCTTGTCTACCTCATATCCGAATGTTAAATATGAAAGCCACTTTGCACGTTGCTCCAGCAGCGACGCCAAATTAAAGTTGTCACATTAGGCAAATGAACGAGCCTTCTTCAAATTCATCCACAGTCACACACACACAGGCATGTTTGTGTGTGTGTGTGCCAGTTAAAAGCATCGCTCCTTGTTTTAATCTTGAAGAAATAACTTTGTCGTTGGCGATGATAAATCATAAACAGCCCCCCCGAAAACAGGATCAGAAAGAGGAGAAAACCAGCGGCAGAGCAGGATACGAATACACTTGACAAAATAAGTGTAGCCTAGAAATTAAAGCAAAGTTATAAAATTCAACATTTTGTTTTTGCAAGGGAGATGATCAGCATTTATGGCTTATAATTATAAGACAAGATAAAAGTCGCATAAAAATTATTTTTCTGAAATTTAAAAATAAAATTAATATATTTAAGGATATTTTTAGAAGTTCATTACTTGGGAAAACTGAAATAAAAGAAATCAAATTTCAATATCTTTCGCACACACTTTTTCTCCCCATGTAGTTAGCCCGGGTTGGGCGGGTCTTTGCAACAGGACACGTCTCTATTTGGTGCACGTGGACGTGGTCGCCAGTACGCACGGACCGAGCGTGGAGCAACAACAATATGTGAATATGTTATTTGTTTTGGGAATTGTGAAAATCTCAACAGGTCCCCGCACTTTGCATATTATTTTTAATACCAGTTCAGCAGCAAGCAAGTCTTGCCAGCATTCAGCCGATGTCTCCATCGCCATCTTAAATTTGGGGTCGGTTCGGGTCAGCCAATTGGCAGCCTCTGCCTCCTGCTGCCGGCTGCCTCATTGTGTCTAGTGTGGCTTACCAAAACATGAACGCATCAATTTTTGGTTTGTCCTGTTTGCATAGACACTCGAGCGGGCAACATTTGACAGCGCCCAGGTCAGGTTGGAAGAGTCGTTGTGGGGCGTGGCGGGGCGGGTCACTCATCATCTTGGCAAATATTTGCATACTACACTCATATCCATAACAACTTTGCTTCTTGTAAATCATGCGGAAATTCACAGCCTTTAATAAGTATTGTTATGAATATATATATTACATAGATGCGAACCTTTATCTGACTACAAGTAGATTATTTGCAGAGAGTTCAAATAAGATCTAAGGTAAGATGATAAGAAAAATAAAGAAATCATTGATATAAATATCAATTAATATCTTTACAGATATTTTTCCAGACAACAACATGGAAGTAGCATATTTAA